AGAGAAAAGCAGGGGTGAAAGAGAGAGAGGAATAAAGGCTTGGAAAGAGGGGCGCCTGGCTGGCTCAGGCAGAGGGACATGTGACTCTCGGTCTCAGGGTCGTGAGTTCAAGCCCCACGTTGGGTATAGAGATTACTAAAAAAAATAAGCTTAAAAAAAAAAAAGACTGGGAAAGAAAGGGGATATACAAAAGTAAACAATCAGTTTCCGAGGTTTAGTTATGTTTTCCAATCAGGCCCTTGGCCTTCACAGAGAATCATGAGTAGAAATGCATCTTTGTAAGTCACTGTTGAAGGCACTATTATATTAGTGTGTGACTCAGTTTCATTCGAATAGGGACACAGGTGATAAATTCCTCTTAGCATTGTGTCTGGTGTGGGGTAGGAGAAGCAGGACTCCCGAATCTCTGGCATGTTCTCTCACGTCGGAAAAGGAGAGAAATAATAGAAATGCCCTTCGATTTTGCTTCAGGTCTCAAAGCTAAGAGCTAAACCACAGTGACTGTGTTAAACCAGGTTGTTGGCACATTTGTTTTAATGCACTGAGCTAACGTGAATCACACTTCCCAAGAGCTTTACTACGGGCCAGGCACGGGGCCCAGTGCCTACGTGCTTTATTTCTTTTATTCCTACCCCCGTCCCCGGGAGGCCGGTCCTGTGCTGATTCTCATTTCACAAATAAGAAACCAAGGTTTGGCCGGGTTAGCTGCCTTGTCCCAAGTCACACGGTTAATGTAAAGTGGAGCTGGGGCTCCAAACCAAGTCTCTGATTCGAAATACTTGGTTTCTCTTGGTCTGCCCGGTCACTAGCCTTTCTTGGCAGCCTAAGAACATGGAATAAATCGGGGAAAGATGTCTTTTTTTAAGAGTAAGAAAAAGACAGGGGAAGTGCATCCTTTAGGGTTTTGGGTTTTTCTTCCCTCTTCCACCTGTTCTCTTTTTGGTTTTAAGGCCGTTCCACGTTCGATAACGCGGACCCCGCGTGTATGTCCCAGGACAAAAACTGAACACGTGAAGGCAAACACGTAAGAAGAGGGAAGCGTCTGGAACACACAGCCGTGTTTTGTCTACTGCTGCCCAGCGTGTCTCTGAGATGCAGTTGGGGGGCGAGTCCAGGAATCGTGACAGGTGAAGAGCGCCGTTCGGATTATAGCGAGCTCCTGCTCCGCTGTCTATCCCCACCCTGCCAGCTGGCAAAACGTGCTGTGCCACGGAGGGATGAAACCAGGAAGCCAAAGGCAAGTGCCTCCGGCACCGGGGAAAAAACTTGGGAAAGAATGAGGCTGATAGAGACAGGAACAGGAAAGACTCAACGGCAAGGGAAGAGGTGAGGCGGGTCCTGCCCGCCATATTCTTGAGAGTTCCCTTTGGGTCAGAATGAATCCGCATCTGTGAGCACAGAGGAACACATTCGTTGATCTCAGAACCTGGGCAAACATCTTTGCGTCTATTTGAAATACCGGGTGCGTGGTACTTCCTTTTGAGTCCGGGCTACGCTGGCCTTCTCCCAGGGATCCACGTCCTGCGCCTTGTACTCAGAGTATAAGGTGACAGCCCAGGACTAATTCCTGTTCTGTCACTAACCCGCAGCTTGGACATTCTGAGACTATAAAAACACAGGAAAAGGGGGCTGCCTGGGTGGCTCAGTCGGTTAAGCGGCCGACTTCGGCTCAGGTCACGATCTCGAGGTCCGTGAGTTCAAGCCCCGCGTCGGGCTCTGTGCTGACAGCTCAGAGCCTGGAGCCTGCTTCGGATTCTGTGTCTCTGCCTCTCCCCAATTCATGCTCTGTGTCTCTCTGTCTCTCAATAATAAATAAAAGTTAAAAAAATGTTTCAAAAAACACAGGAAAAGGGAGATTCGTTTGGTCACCTCCGCGGGACTGAGTTATTTCTATTTGCAAGGGGCAATCGTCAGCCTAATGAAGGTTCACTGGTTTTCCTTCTTATGCAGAACCTTACTTTTTTTTTGAAGCGAAATATTCCCCACAATGTTAAAACATCAGAAAACAATAAAGAACATCTGTGAACATCCAAAACTTCATAGACAGCCAAATGCTTGTTGTCAAATAAGGAATCTGCCAGTAAATGTGTTTGGGCACAAGGATCCTTTAGAACTAGCTGAAAGCAATGCCATCATCAACCTGTCCCTTTCTTTCCTGCCAGAGAGGACGTGAACCAAGAAGAAGCTCAGTGCCTTAATGGAGGCCTTCTTCCCCCTGATGGCAGAGGGAGGGCTAAGGCCCAGGCTTTTCACACTGTTCCCGGCCGCATTCCCGTGTTAAAACAGACACGTGATATGTGTAATATATTACACTAAGTTCCTTAAAATTGTGTGTCACGCACCAGTGTTCAATGAACAAAATGCATACGTATCTATCAACACAACATACCCGTCAGCCACACGGTGCATCCTCGGAATCCGCCCCGTGTCCCAACCACCTGGCCTCTCTTGTTCCGGCTCACGTGGTGGGCCTGATAGACGACGTTGGTGGACTTCTGCTGGCTCTCCTACAATGTAAGACCAAGCCCAGTAGTGTGTTAGTAAAATAATACACTACGTATACATAAACTAAATAATAAAATAACCAATGACGTGAACGGTCATCCCTAACCGAAACTTAGACACTTATTAATTCTACTAATTTAGAGAAAGACGCTGCCTTTAGGATACACCCCATGACCCGTTGAAAGCGTCATTTGAATAAAACAATTACTGACGCACTGTAAAAGTTCTGGTTCCGTGACATTTAAAAGTGCGCACCTTGGGGCGCCTGGGTGGCTCAGTTGGTTGAG